TGGAGTGATAAGCTGGGCTGCTCAGGAACCACCATCACTAATGGAGACATAATTCAAGGGCATTAGTAACGGTACAGAATTCTGAATCAGAAAGGACAGCATCTGCATGCTTCCTATATGGCAATCCCTGTACTTAAACAGCTATTGCCACTACCATGCTGTGTGGCAAACATCCACAGAATTTCTGTGGCGACTGTAGGATTTATTCTTAGGGGTCTATGGTTACCTGGGGTCTAGCTGCTCTCAACTGTGCTCAACTGAGCTGGTGCTATGTGCCATTGCAGGTCTGGGGTCAACTGGAAGTCAGCCAACACAGACTGTACTTTGCTTCAAATGTCTCTCACTCTCCTTAGATGAGGCCTCTGAGGCCTGGGCTCAGAACTAGCATGCTGCCACTTCCTCCCACATGCTTTTGGCCACAGCAAGACATACAGCCAAGCAACACCAAGAGCATGGAAATATACTCTTCCCATGTCAAGGGTATGAATGCAGGGAGGAGAGAAGAATCAGGACCAAAAACTCAATCTGCCCCTCTCTCCAAAGCTGGTGCCCTCAATGCAATTCGGATTTTAATAAAAGGAATAAAGAGGAAATGGGTGATGGTGGTCATGGTCACAGTCCATCGTAGACCTTTTCCCCGGCCAAGAATTTATGTTCTTAATCATGAATTAGCAATATTCTTCCGGTGTGTAGTGTGGACCCAGCTTAATGCTGAATGCTTTGGGGGACGTCAGAGAGAAAAACCCTGATTCTCCCTTCAGGAGCTCACTATTGAGGGATGAGGCTTGTGTTCAAGGAAGATGGGGGCAAGATGATGCTTGATTTGTCATGCTGACTGTGGAGTTCAGAGGAAGGAGAGACCAGCAAAAGCTAGAAAAGGGTGAGATGGGAGGAGAGGGACGATATGGACGCCTTACACCTAGTAAGCACTTGCTGCCTTTCAAATGCTGGGTCAAATTCTATCCGTGCCCTGCTTCTTCTCATGGCCATCCAGAGAGGTACCGGGATGGTCCTCACTTAACAGAAAAAAAAAAAAAATGAAGGCACAAGGGGCTCTCAAGTAACTTGTGTGTGGTCACATAGCTGATAAATACCAGAACCAGGGTGTGAGTCCAGCTCTTTCTATGACCAGAACCTGCATGTTAATCACCGGGGCCCATGGCCGGCCACTTGAGGCAAAGGGGAGCAGCAAAAGTAGACAGATGTGTGAAGAAGACAGCTGCCAGGGGGCGGGAGCTTTGGAGGGGACCCCAGCCATGTTATGAACTATAAATGGGAGCAAAGACTGGATGTGCGATTTGGCCAAGGTCCTGCAGCAAGATAGGGTGGAGGCTGGGCTGGAAATTCTAGCTGCTGGCTCTCCTTCCACTTTCCCTGGTACCAGCCGCTTTCTGGGCTCTCTCCACCCGTCTGCGCGGCCACGCCTGAAGCGCTTCCCTCTTGGAAGAGGTGCAATCCACTGGCATTGAAGCCGGGTGGACTGGCTCCCTCTCTCTATCCATCTCTTTCCTCCTTTCTCCTGCCATGTTCTGGAAAGGGCAGCGTGGGGGAATGTGGGCAGGTTGCACCAGAGATATACATCTGAGAACTGAAGGAACATTTATTTTTAATTTAGACTTAAAAAGAAAAAAGGAAGTTATAAAATATCTGCTCTTGCTCCTGGGACTGTGCAGATGGTGCTGCGTGTTGCCTAATAGGGAACGGGGCTGGCACCCGCGTGCTCCCGGCCCCACCAGCCTGACTGTAGGCCCTGGAAAGCCAGATCCCTATTCCCCTTGCCTCAGCCTCACATGGTTCCCTTGGGTCCCTTTGGCCAATCTGGCTTTCCACTGCCTTCTAACCTCACCCTCTCCGGGTCTGCTGATTTTTCAGCCTCCTCTTCTAATGAAACCAGCCTCTTGGCTGTTCTGCTCCCATGAGTATGCACACATGTCCCCCACACTGCACATGCACATGCACACGCATGCACACACAACTCAGCTCCACCCTACTACCCCCTTCAGCAGATAGCCACAGCGTGCTGACCTCTCCCTTCCTTAGCCTTTATCAACTTGACATACCCAAGTACCTGCTTAAACCATCTAGTCATCTTCATGTCCAGATGTTATAAAGGATATTCTCATGCATTTTCCTGTTTGGTCTCGTTTTTTGTGGTTAGGTGCCATATAATCCTCTCTTCCTGTTTGCTCCCTTGGGAGCACCATGGAACTTGGTGCGTAGAAGATGGTTGAAACAGGGCATGGAGTGTGACTCTTCCTTTGTGATCAGGTGAATGAGCTGGGAAAAAAAAAACCCTAAAATCAGAGAGTTGGAGCCCTCAAGCTAAGAATCAGGAGACTTTTCTGACTTTTTCTCTAGCTTGCTGTGAAGCCTTGAGCAAATCACTGGATTTCTCTAAGCGTCAGTTTCCCCATTTGCAAAATGTGGAAAGTATTCTCTATTTTGTCTGTGCCCCAGTGTTCTAATAAGAATCATAGTAAGTGATAGAGGTGAAATGCTTAGTAAAATGAATCACTCAGTCAATCTCTTTAAGAAAGCATAAGGGGTCAGAGGTACCCAGCATGAATATCAGGCCCATGCTAAAGCAGGAGGTTGGGAAGGAGGTCCAGTTTGGCTAAAGAGGTGAAAAGCTCACAGGCTACAAGCTGTGTGTGTGTGTGTGTGTGTGTGTGTGTGTGTGTGTGTGTGTGTGTATGTGTGTGTGTGTGTGTGTGTGTGTGTGTGACATAGGCCTGGGTACTATTTCAGTTTTGTTTAGGACTGTGGTTTGTTCTGGAAAAGTCTTGACGTCACACAAGAAAATGCCTGCCACCAGAAAATACAAGTGAAGGAGGAAATGAGACAAAAGTTTAGGAAAGGGAAGAAGCCAAGAGTAAAGTTTGGGCACAAAATACATGCAGTGGGAGTTTGTACACTTGACAGATCTGGCCTGAGGTTCTTGACAGTCAGTGCAGAGAGAGGCACAGTTAAGTGCTTAATGTCTACAAGACAGATGTCAACAAGATGCTCAGAAGTATAAATTTCTGACCCCAAAGCCAGAAAATTTCCCCCCAGGAGAACTCATAAAGGAGACTCTGTGATATAATGAGCAGTGAGTGTCCCAGACAACAGGCTAAACACATTAAGTCCCAAGAGGCTGTATCTTATCATGCTCCTGATGGCCCAAGCTCAGTTCAGGGAGTGTAAGGGGGATTGAGGAGAAGACAATGTGGCCCATAACACACATGCGTTTATAAACCAACAGACTGGGGGGATGATATGCTGAGTTCCTAACAGTGAATAACAGCTTTTACTTCTTCTGGCTTTGGGAGGCAGTCAGACATGCACATGTGTGTACATAGAGTCACACACACGCACACACTCACTGGATCATATTGTGTGTTCCCAACTTCAGGCCTCTCTAGGCTCAGCTACCCCTCTGAGGAAGCCTCTCTAGCTCTTAGCTGGAGGCTGACTAGAAGGAGGTCCTGGGTTCCCAAGGATTCTTCTCAGCTAGGCTGGGTGAGGGGGGATTCCCTTTACAGGCAATGGGGCTATCTCACTTGACTTCCTACCTACTACTTGGAACTCCAGAATACCTCCAAGCTCAACCCCTTCACTCTATACAAAAGAAAGCCAGAGCCCCAAAGGAGACCGTCTCCTGCTAGGGACACTGTCTGCTGGAGATCACAGAGGATGGGGCTGAGGCTGAGCTCCAGGCTCTCCTGATTCTCACTCCAGTGCCCTACGCTATTGCCGTGGAGAAAAATCAAACTGGGATCTCATTCTGGGAAGAAAAATCTCATAAGATAATTCCTCACTGAAGCGATGGAATGGCTTTACATTATATAATTTTATTCAAACTGATACGGGCCAATAAATATCAATGTGTGTGTGTGTTTGCTGTCTTAAAACATTTTAATGTTTAAAACATGATTTACAAATGCTGCTGAGGATGTCTAGAATTTGATTTACTGCATAGTATTGAATGTTTATACTTGCTCCTTACAGAGATTCTTGCCAAGGAGCCATTTTATCTACAGGAATAATAAATAAGTCAATATGTGGATGGTTGTGCACATTTTCCCCATATGCAGTGGTACTGGGTAGATGTCATTTTGCACACAAGCACTCAAAAGGTAAACTTGAAAGAGACACATGGATCCCTGAAGTTCAAAGTTTGGCCACTTGTCAAGATGAGATCATTAATCTTAACTTCAACCAAAAAGCCAAAGTGAGCAAGCCTAGCTCTTAGGTGACATTTGGGCGTTGGGAATCATGAATCCAGACCCACATAGCGGCACTCAGCCATATGCGCGTATTTGTTCATTCATTGATTCATTCACTCATTCGACAAGTATTTACTAGACATCTATGATTCATTCAATAGCTTAAACATGGTGTAGGTTTTCTTCGTGGACACTTAGAGATAACGGATATAAATTACCCCTGCTTATATTTATATATAAAGTGCTTAAGGCCCTTGAGATGATTTTTCTCTTCATACTTTAATCCTCACAAAAATCCTATTAGATTGTGAGGGTGTGGAAGAGCCAGGTTAGCTGAGTGGAAGTAAAGATGTTCCTTCTGTTTACTTGTGTCTATTGTCCTCCTGCCGTCAGTTATGGAAATCATACGTGTCTAGAGCCTAAAGGAATACAGGAATATTCAAGAAGAATGTGAGAAAGTACTGTGTAGCCCGACTTCCGGAGACATCTACACACTGGGCTATAGATTTGTTCAGGAGGATATGCATATGCCTATGTTTGTGTATATGGTTCTATGTACGATGTGATTTCTTTTCCCTACAAAAGTGAGATTGTGCTGTAATACAATTCCGCAACCTGGTCTGCTTCTGTCGAATGCCATCTCCCGAGGGCGGCAGTTTGTCTGTACATATCAGCCACCTTAGTGTGTACAGATCCAGCTTACTTTTGCTCATGCCTCTGTCATTTTTCCATGCACAGGTACAGGATGTTCCTTTCAGTTTATTCAGCCTTTCCTCTCTTTCTCTCTCGTAGGTCGTTGGTCTTCTCTTGCCCAACCAGACACTGGCATCCACTGTCTTCTGGCAGGTAACAGCCCTGGCAACAGAGGGCTTCTGAAGGGAGGGCCCACAAAAGCTGGTTATGACTCCCCGCCCCAGTGTCTCCCATCCAGGCCCCTCAGGGAAAGCCACCCCTTTCTCCCCCTCGCTGACCCAGAAGCCACTGGGGGGACTTCAGATGCTGCTGAGCAGCCACCAGTGGCTCACGCCTAGGCCATTTTATGTGACTAATTTTTGCACGAGGGGAGGACGGCTTGCTTGTGGCCGCCCGCTGCTCCTTGGCTGCTTGTCCGAAGGCCTGTGACCTCGAGGCCCTCAGCATCATTTTGATATAAGCCCCACTGAGATCTGTGGGGAAGGTAAACCCACCACCCACCCCAAGGTAGCAAGGTGGGTGGGAGAATATCATGGACCCTCCACGTAGAGTCTGGGCTATGGCTCCCTGAAAACAGCTGAAGCTCTGTGTGTGTGTGTGTGTGTGTGTGTGTGTGTGTGTGTGCACAGAAAGCGAGTCAGGAAGAAAACTGGTCTGCCTTCAGGAAGAAATGTCACAGTCTTCCCTGAATAAAACTCCTAACCATGCCCACATCTGGACACCAGGCTGGGATACTTTTCAAAGAGGTCTGCGGCCGTCAGTAATTCCAGGGGCTACATGCCCACTTTCTGCCCTGTAAGGAATATAATAAGGATTAATGTGTCAGAGGCAGTGAGGCCCGTTTGGGGCAGTGAACGCCATAATTCCAGGAGAGGTGACCCTCTCTGTACTGGGATGAACTCCCAGCATGGGCGGGACCAGTGTCCTGGTTTGGCAGCCACTGAGGGGTGTCCTGGGTTTTCAGCGCTAATGCTGGCACAGCCCCAGGCAAACTGCAACCGTTGGCCGTGTTGACCTGTGAGACGGACAGAACCACCTGTGAGCTGGACACAGTGTCCCACTGTCTTTCTGGAGGCCGTGGCCTCCCGGGCTCCAGGCCTGGCTTCCACACCTCCTCTGACTTCTCCTCTCCCCTCTTGCCTTTTAGTGGCTGAACCAGAGCCACAACGCTTGCGTCAACTATGCAAACCGAAACGCTACCAAGGTGAGCAGCACAGACCACCGTGGCCGAGAACAGGCTGGGGTGACCCATAACTTCCCTCCAGCGTGGCAGGCTTCTTCCTCTGAGTGGAGCATTGTGCTCCTCCAAGCACCTTATTTAAACTGCCAGCCCTTCAGGAAGGGCCCCACTGGGGAGAGGCTTGTGCACATGAAGTGAAGAAGGCCCATAAAATGGGAATGTGCTGGAGGCGGTGATAGAGATGAGCTCTGTTGGCTTCAGAATCCTCCTTGGGCAACTCTTATCCATCCCCACATCTTGGATTAGGACGGCAATGGCCACATGGGGGACTGAATTCCCCTGAAGCTTCCTCCAAGCTTGCCTGCAAGCTGCGTGGGTGCCCCCAGACTGTGGGCTGCAAAGCTGAAGGGCTGCTCTTCAGGGGCGAGGGGTCTGAGGGGACTTGCACCTCCTCCCCAAAGTCTCCTGCGCTCCTGGGACAAGCTTAGGGTGGAAGCCCCATCACCCTTCTCTTGTCCAGGAAGGGGCTGCGCCCCAGCTTTGCTGGCAAGGCTGTCTCTCCTGCGCTTCTGTCCAAAGGCGGCAAGAGGAGAAGAGGAGTCTAGGTCCCCTTGGGGGGCCTGTCAGTTTGGGAAGGAGAGGGTGTGGACATTCTCTAACCTTGGGGAGAGACGGGGGAGGGTTAGGGACTGCGCCTGGGTGGTAGGAACTTTGGGACACCCAACACCCCATCCAAACCTTCAGTCCACATCTCATGTGTATGATCCACACGTGTGCATCTCTGCTTGGATGGCCCTCGTGTGCCTTGAACCAAACATCTCCAAAATAACAGAGCATAGTTAAAGGCAAGTTCCTCAGCTCTTCTTTAATTTTATTATGTTGCAGCTTGGGTTACATTTTTCCTTAGAAACATTGAGCAGCCGTCCTCTATTGGCATGGAAGCCCGGTTGCCTCATGGGTTAAGGCCGGGAGAGCCAGCCAGGCACAGCCATCCGGGATACTGCCCTTTCCAGTGAGGCAGCCCTCCAGCTGCCCGCAGCCCACTTCCGGCTTGCATCCTCCCTACACTGGACATGCTGGGCCCAGCTGAACGTGACCCCGGTTGGCCCTTGCTGTTGTCTATGTCCAGCCAACAGTATCTGCCCATGAGCTCTCTAGAACAGGGCAAACATGCAGTGGGCCCCTTCAGCATCTCCCCAGATGTCACTGCCCTGTATTTCCATGTATGGAGCTGTGCTGAGGGAAGCCTGGATCCCTTCAGCTTCTGGAGGGATCTTTTCCTTCTCACCTGTTGGTGGGAAGGAATGTCTCTTGCAGGCTGGGGCTGTTTGCAAGGGTGGGGTGTGGCAGCTTTGGGCACCCAGTGGGCCTAGAACTCTGTCTCTGCCTTCCAGCCTTCTCCTGCGTCCAAGTTCATCCAGGGCTACCTGGGAGCTGTCATCAGTGCCGTCTCCATTGCTGTGAGTAACACTCTCCCCACTTCTCTGTCCCACTGCTCTGTGGCTGGCTCCCTCTCCCCAGCAGCTCTGGCCAGACCTGTCTGAGGTCAGGGCCAGGCAAGGGTGCGGGAGACAGAGGTTTGTGTGGGTGGGCCACCAGGTCAGGCTTCCTAGGCAGATGAGAGAGTAGATTCTGGTGAGAGGCACAAACTTTAATAGAGAATGCTCCAGATTTTGGAGAGCAGGTGCGGAGGTGAGGCTGTGCCCATGAGTGATGCAAAGGGCTGCACACTCCAGCGGAGGGCAGGACGTCTGTCCCTAGTGGGGTCGCTTTGCCCCAGCACCCTTCTCAGAGGAGCTCACTCTCAGTCATGTGGCTGATGCAGGAAGTGATGGGCTCAGGAACAGTTGTAAGGCTGGCCCAAATGCTGGCCCCCCCCTTAGCTCTTCGTCCGAGCTCTCAGGGCACTACTGTCCCTTCTCTGAGGCCTTGGTCATGTGGTCACATGTCCAGTCCCTCCTGGAGGCCCTCCACAAGACAGGGCAATAATCTCGTTTGAATCCCACAGGACTTTGAGAATAGAGCAGCTATTAAGTCGGGAGGTTTGAAGACTGACCGTGTGAGTGTAAGGCTGGATCCTAGATGAGGGCTGAAGGCAGGTGACACAGCAGGGGTCTGGGCCAGAGCCAGAGTGGATCCATCTTACTCTCTAGATCCTAGCCGACTCTGGAGGGTGAAAATAACTTCACAGCTTTGTTATTTTATTCATCATGCAATAAATACATGCAATTGGTAAGAAAAAACGTACAAAACGCAAATTTACAAATTCACATATAATGAAAGAATTCATATATAATAATCTTTTTGTAAAACCCACTTTCCTTATCTTTCCCATGTCATTAAATGTAATAATTGTTCACAGCTATGTACTAACCCCCTGGACCTCACACCATCATTCATTCCACTGCTCTGGGAAAGTAGGGATTGGGGACAGTTTTGAGATGGTTTCCTTTACTCTGTGGGCCACGCCCCCTCCAAATAACCTGTTGGGGAGTGATCCCCGCTTTATACCAATGTTGAGCTCCCTCCCTGCATCCTTGACTTACCCCAAGCAAGGACATTGCCAGATCTGTTCAGGGGGCTCTCCACGAGACTGCAAACCCCACCCTGGGGGTCCTCAACCCAGCAGAGACTTCATTTGGGGTCATGCAAACTGGCAGGCCCTGATTCTGGGGGGCTACTGGCAAAGGGAAGGGGCCCTTGTGAGAGAAGGAAAGGGACTCTGTCACCTCCTCCTTGCTCTTCATGACAAGAGGAGCTGATGGCTCTGCCCAGCTTAGCAGCTTGAAAATCCCATTTTCCTTGAGATTTAAGGGTGAAGTGGGGTGGAGCTGAGGGGAGGAAACCACATCAGGGACAAGGCCGAGCAGCCCTGACTGGGAAGGGCTTGAGTGAAGGGGACACTGTCCCAGTGGGATGTCCTCCTCCTGGAGGCATGGGGCTCCAGGCTCATAGCACCCCCAGTCTTCACTGTCCCACCCAAAGGCCCTTCGGGCATTCCATCCCTCTCATCTCCTAGGATCTGAGCCAGCCCAGATTGTGGGGTGGGGGCTCTGACGCCCCAGCTGCTGTTCCTGGGGAGCGGGGGCCCTCAGGCTCTCAGAGCCAGGATCTTACCCTCAGGGACAGGAAGCGGCACACTGAGCTGTCACAGCCCCCAGGGGCTGTGCCCGTGCTCTGGACACCCTCCTTCCAACTCCCTGCCTAGCTGCAGAGCCCTCAAAGAGGCTTCTCCTGACCAGGCCGGCCCAGACTCTTCCCACACCCCCAAGTCCTAGCAGCTTCTGGCCTTCCCACACACTCAGTTACCCCCCGTGTCCTGTCCTGTCATTGTTCCATTGGATTACAAGCTAACCGGGGACAGGCCCCTACGGAGGGGGAGCGAGCACTGCTCCATAAATACTTGTTAATTAGGTTGCTGATTGATCGCCGGCCTCGGGAGGCCCCTCTCCGCCTAGATCCATGAGTCCCAGCCGTGGCGGCGTCCCTCTGCCTGACGTCTTCACACAGTGAGGGTCTAACTCTGGCAGATGGAGTGGAGTTTCTGACTTGGAAAATCTGCAGCTTGCTTGCTTTTCTTTTGTGTGTGTAAATCACAAAACCTCCAAAGAAAGAGGCTTTATTTTATTTTCCTTTCCCTTGTTCTCTGGAACCCTGGGCCCGCGGCCTCATTAACTGATCTCTGCTTCAATTAGTGACAAATCCCCTCCCAGGGAGAACCTGTTAGGAGGAGATGACCTGCAAACAAGTGTCACGGCCCCAGTGGTTGGCCCAGCTCTGGCATTAATTAAAACGAGTCCCTACAAGCAGGCGGCATGGATGGGGTGGGGGAGAGGGGCTGACAGGCTGAGGGCAAGTCCCAGGGACTAAGGACAAGCCGGAGTGGAGGCAAGGCCCTGAGAGTCTGGGTCTCCTCCCTGGACCTTTCCTCTCAGAGGAGCCAGAGCCCTGACCTTGGCCAGCAACCCCCCGAATCAAGGACTCTGGGTTTGCATGGTCCCCGGAATGAAGTCTCGAGCTGGTTACGGGACCACCAGTGCAGGGGTAGCAGCCTTTTGGTGAACTCTCTAAATAGATTTGGCAATGTCTGGCTTCTTGCTCGAGAATAAAAAAGAAATTTTGTCTTAAGTTATTTTTGAAATCTAACAGTTTGCTGTCTTTTAACAAAGGAAGCCTCTGTCAGTCCTCACTGTATTTGAGTTTGGGGGTTCATGCTGAGTATTTCTGTGGTCAGCCCCCTTGGGCCCTGGCTACCCAAGGGCAAGACCCCCCTTCACGGGAGCGTGTGTAGCAGGCAGTGGGCAGGTGCAGGGGGGTCACTCCAGTTGGTGTGTCCTTCAAGACACGGAGAGGAAAAGCTGAGAATATTCTGTGGTAGAACCAGAATTCTGATGAAGGTGACCCTTGGGTGTGGTGGTAAGTAGGGAAGGGGCCCCCAAGTCACCCAAGGCCAACTCTTCAGGACAGATTGGAGAGAGCTGAAGGCAGGGTGAGGGTTCTAAGTAGAGGGCACAGCACGTGGAGAGGACAGTAGGGACTGGAAGAAAATTTTTGAAAGGCTCTTTAGGTGTAATGGGGTTAGACCCACTCTCCGACTTCATGCTTCGTTCCTGCACCTGTGTGCTCTGGCCAAAGTCGAGCCAGCAGCGTATATTTGTCACTGGTCCAGAGGCTCCTTGCTCCACCGCCTGCAAAACCATGGGTGGCTGGTTCTGTGGTTGAAGGCATACTTCAGAGTGTTCTTTGAGAGTGTACCTCAGGGTGTTCCCTGTGATCCAAGGTGTACCTCAGAGTGTTCCCTGTGGTCCAGGGTATACGTCAGAATGTTCTCTGTGGTCAAGGGTGTAACTTGAATGTTCCCTGTGATCCAGGGTGTACCTCAGGGTATTTTCTGTGGTCTAGGCTGTATCTCAGAGTGTGCTCTGTGGTCTAGCATGTACCTCAGTGTTTCCTTTGATCCAGGGTATAACTCAGAGTTCTCTGTGGTCAAGGATGCACCTCGAATGTTCCCTATGATTCAGGGTGTACCTTACTTAGAGTGTTCTCTGTGATCCAGAATGTACCTCAGGATGTTCTCTGTAGTTGAGGGTGTACTTAAGGATGTTCTCTGTGGTCAGGGTGAACCTCAGAGCTATGTGGTAAAGAGTATACCTCAGGGTGTTCTCTGTGATCCAAGGTGTATCTTAGAGTGTTCCCTGTGATTCAATATGTACTTCAGACTGTTCTCTGTGGTCAAGGGTGTACCTTGAATATTCCTTGTGATCCTGGGTACACCCCAGGGTGTTCTTTGAAATCCAGGGTATACTTACAGCTTTACTGTCTTTCTCTGGATCTAATGGAGGTAGGGACCATTAGCCTGAGAATCCCAGACCAGATGTTAACTCACTGCTTTTCTGTGACTGGCTTTCGGGTTGGAGGGCCCATTACATGGACCCTGTAGCAGAATCTGAAGTTTTCCAGAAGCCTGCAGATGGTGATATTGGCAGTGGTGAGTCCAACGTGAAGACTGGTTCTGCATCTATTCTATTCTGGGGAGGACAAGTTGTTGTTCCTTCCTGCGTGTAAGGGGTCTGATGTAACTGACTTTCTAGCAGGTGGCCAGCGGGTCCCTGCAGGGCATGGCTCAGGGGTCAGGATTGGACTCTGTTGCTAGCAAACAAGCCTATCAGCTGCACCTGATTGGCCTTTTAGCCTGTGTATGACTCTGTCCCAGCCACCTTGGCCCTTTGCTCCTGAGCCTGTAACCAAGCAGCAGGCTGTCTGGGGTTGCAGGACAATTGACTTCCATAGAGGGTCATGGGGTCCACTTGGTTACCAAGAGTTTATTCTACAACGGGCGCCCTCTGCTGGGCATTTTTGGCACTTCAAAGGTTCTTCCACCTGCCCCAGCCCTTCCTCCCCCTCCACCCCCAGCCATCTAGTTACATTACTATCCACCACCCAAGAGTAGATCTAATTTCTGAACCTCATGCCATCTCTCCTTTCAGGCATGCCCTCTCCTCCATTGTTCTCCAGGGCCCCTCGAATCCCCTTCCAGGTGCTAGTAGAGTCCTCAGCAGGCTACAGACAACCTGGTATTTCACACTTCTGAAGTTCTACTGAGCCTCCTCCTTCCTTATCTGGTTGCTTCCTACTTACCCTTCAGGTCTCAGTTAGGCATCCCCGTTCTCAGAAACCTTCACCGCCTTGGGGCCACCCCCTCAAGGCCCCTCCTCCTGGGAGAGTGATGATCACGTGCTCAGGTGGACGTGGTCCCGTGTGTGCAATGCCTAGAACCGCAGAGCTGTGTTTGCTGAGGTGGAGAGCAGTGACCACACAAGACAGATCTCCCTCATGGTTCTTTTCTTCCTGCCTCAGAAATCACTCACATGATTCATTCTAGAATATTTATTAAGCACCTACTCATTTCCCCAGGCACCAGGAATTCAGTGAGGAGGAAGGGAGACACAGGCTCTGTACC